CTCTAGTATAAAGGGTGTCTTTCCCATCCCCTCGTCCCCAAGGGATCCCTAGGACAATCTTCAACTGTCCCTTGTCCCTAGCTATATCCTCTAGTATAAAGGGTGTCTTTCCCATCCCCTTGTCCCCAAGGGATCCCTAGGACAATCCACAACAGTCCCTTGTCCCTAGCTATACCCTCTTGTATAATATACTAGGCGATCAGCGATCGTTTAAATTGACTTCCTGTGGTATTGCAACCAGTAAACGGAGAAGTGTTTAAGATATTACTTAGACTAAAGCAAAAATATTTCCTTGAATGAAAAATTGGGGACGAGGGGATGGGAAAGACACCCTTTATACAAGAGGGTATAGCTAGGGACAAGGGACTGTTGAGGATTGTCCTAGGGATCCCTTGGGACAAGGGGATGGGAAAGACACCCTTTATACTAGAGAGTATAGCTAGGGACAAGGTACTGTTGTGGATTGTCCTAGGGATCCCTTGGGGACAAGGGGATGGGAAAGACACCCTTTATACTAGAGGGTATAGCTAGGGACAAGGGACTGTTGAGGATTGTCCTAGGGATCCCTTGGGGACAAGGGGATGGGAAAGACACCCTTTATACTAGAGGGTATAGCTAGGGACAAGGGACTGTTGTGGATTGTCCTAGAGGATCCCTTGGGGACGAGGGGATGGGAAAGACACCCTTTATACAAGAGGGTATAGCTAGGGACAAGGGACTGTTGAGGATTGTCCTAGGGATCCCTTGGGGACNTACAGAACAACTGCATGCAACTTCGTTGTCAGGACCTTCTGACTACAATTATTTTGTCAAATGATGATCGACAAGCAAGAGCGTCGGCCATGTTTACGATTGACTAACAATAATTGTCTATTCAAGGTTGGGAAGACATACTATATTGCCTGGGTATTCAATCCGACGTCGTCAGTCTTCGGATACCACGGTTCCGTGAACCGCGGCTACAGCTCCAACAAAGTAGTCCTTGCTGGAACACAGACAACAACTGTAGTAACCACTACCACCGGGACATGCGCTAAACTGTCTTCAATTTTGGTGCTGTTGTCAATGTTTGTAGCGATGCTCGGTTACTAAGCGACATGAGTCACGTTATGGAAGTCTTGTTACGTTAACTTTTTATTCTTTTTAATTTGTCGTGGTTTGTTAAATTCATTGTAAAGTGGATGCACTTAATCCGCGAAGCAAATGACACTTATTTCTAGTAAGAAGTTTTGATTAGCACCAAAGTATGTTAGAGTGGAGTCCTCAATTAAATCCATGAAACTAAATTTAACGAGCAATTTTTCCTTGACAAGTTTTCCTTGACAAGAAAAAAATTGCTCGTGTAAATGGGGTAAAATTGACTATTTTTCCTTGTCAAGGAAAAGCCAAAATGTTCGCTCTACTTGTTTTTATTGTCTAATCAAAACTAGTAATTAGTGATATTTTTTTCATGGGGATTAAGCGCGTCAAAAATGAAGTTTGTAGTTATATAGCATATTTTGGCAGCGGTAAAATAAGCAAAGTATAAATTAATTACTCAATTAAATAATTTTTAAACTAATTTTTATAATTAAGCTCACCTTTATGCGTTGGTCATTACTTTTTTTGCAATAAAGTCTGTAAACCCGTGAAAAAACAAGACTTAACTATTACTATGCAATAGTTGAAATCGTACACAAAACAAAATAACAGAATGAAGTAAGAGCGTACCAAGGTGTATTTGAATGTGTAATAGTTGTGTAAAAAGATAAATTTAACACCGCAAAAAAGTAGATGAAATAACTTAATGACGTTTCTGACGTTAATCGGCCTTCGTCGGAGTAAAAAGAGAGACGAAGGATTAACGTCCGAAACGTCAGTAAGTTATTAACACTTATTTTTTTACGGTGTTAAATTTATATTTTTACACAACTGTTTTTTTTAAAACACCGACGCAGCTCACACTAGTTTACCGCTAGTTCCCACCATTTTGTATTARTGTACTATTTCAAGCGTTTTTTSACTTAATCTAACACAAGGGAAGCTGATATATCAAATAGCATAGAAT